ATACTGTACAGAGGGGTTACAGTTACATGAGTAAGGTAATGAATGCATTTCTTATTGAGAATTGTTGCCTCCTCTTTGTTTTTAGCCTACCATCCCTTCCTTCCCCACCTCCCCAACTACTCCCCACCCCTCTCTCCCTCTGAAGTTGTAAAGTTTGTTTTCAACATGTCTTGTACATCTCATTTTTATAATGGGTCAACCTGTATCCTTATTTTTTTCCTTTCCCCTCCCCAAATTAGAAAAATGTATATACAAGATGCATGGCACCAGAATCAAATATAGTGAAAACAGGGATTATACCGTGGAGGAAGAACATACCAAAGAAACAAAAAAAAATCACATAATATATTATAAGTAAATTAAAAACAACAGCAACAAAGATAAAAGCATTTGTGTCCCTATCTTGGGGTTCATTTCACTTAACATCAACTTATTTGATCATATGTACATAGTTTTTTTATCTTTTCTGCTTGTCCTAGACATATATTAGTTATTGCAAATAAGGGAAACCATGGGACCTATGTTTCTTTAGGTCTGGCTTACTTCACTTAATATATTTTTTTCCAAGTCTTTCCATTTCCTAACAAAGGGACGATGTCATTTTTTCTAATAAGTCCCCCAACAACAAATCCTCAAAGAAACAATAAATAAGTGGGCTAAAGACTTACAGAAAACTTCTCTGAAGAGGAAAGGAGGATGGCCAATAGACACATGAAGAAATGCTCAACATCCCTAGCCATAAAAGAAATGCAAATCAAAACAACACTGAGATACCACCTCACCCCAATTAGAATGGCTATAATCAAGAACTCTAATAACAACAGACACTGGAGGGGATGTGGACAGAAGGGAACCCTACTGTATTGTTGGTGGGAGTGTAAACTCGTTCAACTACTTTGGAAAGTAGTATGGGGGTTCCTCAAAAGACTCCACATAGAGCTCCCCTATGACCCAGCAATCCCACTTTTGGGCATTTACCCGAATGATCACAAACAAGACCATACTAAAGCTACCAGCACAACTATGTTTATTGCAGCATTATTTACCATAGCTAAGCTATGGAACCAACCCAGATGCCCCTCAATAGATTAATGAATCAAGAAAATGTGATACACACACACACACACACACACACAATGAGATGTTCCTTTCAATCTTATGCAAATTAGTGTCCTCAGTAACCCCAGAGAAAGCCAAGAATTCTAGTTCATTTCCCTTATCTCTTCACTTTTTTTGCTTTCTTCTTTCTCTTATTTCCTCTCATTTGTAAGCAGAAAAGAAATAACCAGGATATCTAAATTTTGATGAGATTCTCACTTATTCTTAACCACTCCATGTCAAAAGTAAATTTAATCAAAGTTCAATCTCTTGTGCAGCATGATTGTGTTGAAACCATCCAAGCAGTTTTACAACCACAACAGGTAATATAATGTGAACTTTAAGGTGAAATTTCAAACTGTTGAGTCCTGGCATTCTAGTTTTGAACTCTGGGTTGAGGATTCATACAAAATTACAGTGTTTGTTAAATTCAAAGGGAACCATTACTTACTCTGTATAGTAATTTAGAAAGAGCTTCCCCAAAATAAACTATTCAGAAAAGTTGTTCCTAACCCAACAGTGACCTAGTCTAAATAGCAGACTCTAAATTACATATGTTGTTCATAGAATCACTACAGAAAATCTCTTCATGAGAAAATACTATATTTTCCCATACTCTGAATGTATTAGGCAAGAACTTAGAAATAAGATCATCCTCAATATATACCAAAAACAAACTGGTTGATAGGATGTTTTCCAAAGTCTTAGCTTCACATGAAGTATTTCCAAACAAATGGCCTTTCAGCTACGAGAAAATGAATTCGCCCATGCTACCTAACCAATTCCAATCAATAGCACTGGTAGTCAACAGACTGCAACACTTTTCAGCCTTTTATCTTCTTAGGTGATAAGATCCCAGGCTGTATCTTCACAGAAGGTACCATCCTGACCTATCTAGTCACTAAAGGCTGCATATGTCTACCAGTCCTCTTCCTCAGTGGCAGTTTAAATGTCACCTAAAGGTCACCATTTTCCAATAATCAATTTATAGAAAAATTTTAGAAATTATCTACTTCTTAATTAACAAATAAAAAATTCAGCATTTTGGAAGTGTTTCTGTTTTGTTTGCTTGTTTGCTTTTCTACCCTTCATTTTGTTTTACACCCATACTGTCTCTGATTTTCCTATTACTTATCTTTAAGTTAGCATAGTTTTTATTAATGTATAAACCAAATATTTTTTCTTTCCTTCTTTTCTTTTCTTTCTTTTATCCTTTGCTTCCCTTTCTTTTCCTTTCCTTTATTCCTTTTCCTTCCTTCCTTCCTTCCTTCCTTCCTTTTCTTTCCTTCTCCCTCTTTTACTTTTCTTTCCTTCCTTCCTTCCCTCCTTCTTCCTCATAACAGGGCTTGAACTCCAGGTCTTCATACATACTAGGTAATTGCTCCATCAGTAAGATTAACCTAACTCCAGAAAACAAATCACCTCTTATGTATCTTCATTATTGCCTAAGAATTATCCTTGAAGCCGGGCGCCGGTGGCTCTTGCCTGGAATCCTAGCTACTCAGGAGACTGAGATCTAAGGATCACAGTTCCAAGCCAGCCCAGGCAGAGAAGTCCCCATGAGAATCATATCTCCAACTAACCCCTCAAAGAACAGAAGTGGAACTGTGGCTTAAAGAGGTAAAGTGCTAGCCTTGAGCAAAAGAGCTGAGGCTCAGAGCCCAGGCCCTGAGTTCAATTCCCACAACTGACCAAAAACAAAAACAAAAAAAAAGAAAAAGAATTTTCCTTGAATAATACTTTTTGTCATCTTTAAGTAAATTCCAAAATCTACTAACGACATTGACTATATCTACAGTAAACTCAATTGTTGGTTTTATTCTTTATTCAAATTCAGTTTCCAAAAACCATATATCTTGGTCACAAAAACATGTATCTTCCCCAGTAACTTAGAAACTGACCTCCAGCAGGGAAACAGGATGACTAAGATACTTGACAGTTTAGAAATACTGTCTATATAAAACAAACTAATTCTGTATTATCTTGAAGCCAATTCTTTCATTACTTCAGCACTGAGTTCATTAATTGTGTAGACTTTTGTTGTTCAGTTCTACAATGTGTCTGTATATGTTTCTGTGCCACTTCTATTTATATAGTTTTATCATCAGTGTAATCTTCTTCCTTGAAGATCAGGAATCCAATATAATTATTTTTGTAGATCAGTAATCACAAAAACCTAACAAAGGGGAAATTAAGGACTGGGGTCTAGCTCAGTGGCAAAGTGCTTGCCTACCAGGTACAATACTTCCAGTTGGATGCCCAGTACCACAACAAACAAACAAACAAACAAACAAATAAATAATGCAAATACAAATACAGTCGTGATTTATACAAAACAGTACCATAAAGTTATTTATTCCTTTTTATGGCTTATTTTGCTAGCAGATTACCTCACCAACTAGGCCATGGTTGAATTATGTTGGCTGACATTTCATCCAACAGTAAATACCTTCTCATAGTTCCTACAAGCATTTTTTGAGTCAAATGATTTTCAAATACTGTGTCACTTACGCTTCTCAGAAGCTAAAAGGTGTATCTGCTGTTTTATTGAAATGCACACTGAGCCAGATTAATTTCCACAGGCTCATATAGATTTTTAAAAAGCTGAAATCTAGAATTTCCCATTACAAATGCTCAATTCTCCAATCCATTTATTTTTCCAATTTTCCATATTTCTTTCAATCATTTTAAGTCATGACCACTGCTTATTCTAATGGACTTTATGGACTTTACTATATTCTATATAAATCCCATGGATAATATCTTTCCAGATCATCATCAAATTGTTTTAACAAGATATAGCTTTGGCATTGGAATTATAACTGAAGTGGTTAATAAAGTATACTAATGAGCACTGAGCCAGGAATCTCCAAGTTGTGAAAAGTAATCATGATTATTCCCATGTTTGTGGTCTCTTGGTGAGGTCCCATTGGCGTTCATATGCTGAACAAATATTTAATGGGTATCTCCTAGTCCCAGATGCTGTTCATCAGCAAAGCAGACCAGGTAGGTAATGGGGAGTAAGAATGGATAGATCATATTGTGCTATGTGTGGATGTAGAAAAGTAGTGTAGGTCTAAAGATCTGGAAGGTATCCTTATTATAAAATCCCAGCTGCTTAGAATGGAATACAACAGCTTTCAGCATTTGGCCATCATCTACTCGGTACTACTCTAATATGGCATCCTTCCGGAGTTGTTGTTCTCTCATCTTACCTGACAGCCATTTAACCTTTAAGGCAATTTACCCATCTTGTTTAGGAAACTTTGCCACCCTCAACTCCTTAGTAATGTGCCAGAACATTCTAGACTTACCATCATGTTTACAGTAGACTATGTTGCAATATCCTACACGTTTTGTCATCTTCAAAACATACTTCAATCTCACTGATCACAGGTAAAGCCCACTAACGATTAAGCATAATCTTCATAACATGTAATGGTGAGATGGCTGCATGAATGAATGCATGGATAAATTCATGCATTATCAGTACAAAAGAAGAAACTTGAAAATCAAGAGTAAAAACCATATCAGAATACTTTATAAATGTTGAGTTGTGAAGAAATTCAATTGTGCACAAAAATATACAACGATATTTTCTAAATTTACCTTTGTTGAAAACAAAGAACAAATCTCGGAGATAAAATAACTAAAAACCACAGGTCTATAAATGAGGCAGTCTAGTACACTTGCAAGATTCCATTTAAAAGACTGAAATTGTCACAGGGAATTCTTGATTTCTTTAAACAAATGACGAATTACTAATGAAGATGCCCTTGTACAATAACTTGACTTTATTCATTTTTCTTTTGAAACTCAAAGTGGAATCTTAATGATCAATATAGAGCTATTTTGAAAGATCAGGTCCAATGTTATTTTTTCATTTTATAGTTGCTATGAGTCTATATCAAATATTTCAAATGCAGATATATAACTAAGAGGCACCCACTGAGATCTTTCCAAGGAATATGACGAGATATTGTGGCACATGACTGGGCAGATGAGTTATTGGTGTAAGTGGAATAATTCCCTGCTACCAAAGTGACAAACTGAGGTTGGGATGGCTTTTTGACAAAGGCATCTATGCAAACTCCATCAATAGCACACACATTAATAGCATGAACATTTTCTATATCAGCTCTCTGCTTGCAATTCAAGTTTGCAAAACAGCTGCACTTAAATTTCCTGGAGAAATGATGCAGGTCATGAAGTGTTGGCTTCCCATGTACTATATACTGTCCAACTTGTGGAGTTTGAATTTCAAAATTCAATGGGTTTAAGTGAAGATAATCGCTCGAATTCCAGTGTTTCCTTGTACACACGCCTTGATCCTGGCATAGTACTTGACCACACATTTTGGCTGCTAGGGTGACATTGATTAAGTAAGGATTCAATGTAGTCTCCAAGTAAGTGTGTAAGTTCAGACAAGATTTCTGTACAATGATAAGATAGTCAGAATATTGTCAGCATAAATTAGCATAAATTAGTCCTTATACAAATAATTCACTATGAAAAGCAATAATAATAATAACTTTTTATGGAAGAGCCCTCTCTCCTACTTAAGCCTACCCTTAGGCTGATTTTTCTTTGCTTTTCAGATAAGGTCCTGTGCTTTTGCCTCAGTCAAACTAAGATTCTTCTATTCGGCATTCCAAGAAGTTGGACTTACAGGTGTGAGCAATCATGTCTGGGTTCCTTTAATAAGAAATTTTTAAGAAAACACTGGACTTGCACTAAGTAAAGAAAATATTACTTTTTTTTACTTTATCAAGCAAGATAATTTTAACTGTTTTGTGGTAACATATACAAATTTCACATGCCACTTCATATTACTGAATAACTGATTAATTTAGGCTTAACACATTCTAGCCTAAATCTTTCTCAGTAATTTATGGATTAATCTAGGGGATAAAATGGCATAGCACATATATTACAAAATATGCTCTAGAGTCCATTTGTATTCTTTGGAGTTCCAGTTCCTTTGATGACCATCTGTATGAATTTGAGGACCTTTCAAGCCTTCTTAGTTCCCAATTTTGGTGACCTTAGGAAAATCAATAAACCTAATAAGGATAATTTTGGAGCCTATCTCATTGGGTTATTTTGAGGATGAAAAGATGACGTATATAAAGGCAATTAATATAAGGCCTAAGATAAGTTAACATTTAATAAGTAAAATGACTGTAGTAAATATCACATTTGCCAATCAAGCTCAAACACCATTGAAAAAGATTTTACATTCTGGTGGCTCAAAATAACCATATTCCACTGAGTATATTTCATGCTAAATACTATATATAACCAATTATGTATACATAATGGCAGTTACATTACAGATTTGGTAGAGAATGAGTGATGAGTATATAGAAAGATCCATCCTGCGATTGTTCTAAAACCTGGACATGGACCTTTATAAAAACATTGGAAGCAGAACCATTTCCATTACAATTAACAATTCTACCTTGTGATCTGGACAAATTAGTTCTTTGGCAGACCAAAAGAAGTGCTGATGTTATATTTGACAGGCAAGGCAAGAAATCCTGCTGGTTCCCTGTGAAATCAAAATCTTGTCACCTTTATTGAAGGGATGGCATTTACTCATGGTATAATACTGGCCTCCCAAGATATCTTTAAAATAATCCTCAGGAATATGTGATAATGCTAGCTTATGTGGACAAAAGCATATGTAAATAATATTGAAGGCATGGACCTTGAGGGGGGAGATTTTCCAGAAAATATCTGGGAGGCCTCAATCTAATTATACAAGTACCTATAAGGTTAGAAACATTTTTAGGTTTGTATATTAGATAAGAAAGAGGAGATGGAAGAAAGAAAAGATATTTGAAGTTCAAAGGGAACTTAAACTAGCATTGAAGAAAGAAAAGACCCACGAGCTAAAAAAGGGTAGGGACCTCTAGAAGATGGAAATGACCTTCAGTCAACAACCAGGCCAGTCCTGGAGCTCTCATTTCCACAACACACAGCACTGAAAGGCCAACATCTCAAATGAGAACTGAAGATTCTTTCCTAGAGAGGAACTTAGCCTGTTTAACATGAGCCCACTAACTCATGAAAACAATAATAAACTAATATACCACCTGTCTTCTTAGCATTTCCAAAGGCTTTTCACGGAGATGAGAATGAAATTCTACTTCTCTTAACCTACATACAGTCTGCTATGGCAAAACCCTTCCTCCCTCTATGCAGCACTCCCAGATCCAGGCTCTTCAGTCATAGCAGCTAAACAAAATCAATAGAATGGCTGAGATGACTTTGAGTGTCACTTTTTCAAGTGCTTGTAAATGTAAGAATATGCTGTTTTAGCTGAAGTACAAGGCTCAAATGATACGTTTCTCTAAATGTCTTACAATAGGAAGTCTATTTTTGACAGATGATAGAACAGGGCCCTGAACTCTAGGCTTTGTTCCTTATTATCCATGACACATTCATCACTAGTATTATCATCATATTATTACCATATTCATCAGAGAAGGAAAAATCAGTTCAGTCTTAGAATATACACCACACACACACACACACACACACACACACACACGAGTGTACACACATGTATACGCACACATGCACATGCGCACACACAAAAAATATGCTTTACTCTTCCTTTTAGTCAAGGGACTAAGAATAAGAAATGGGAATCTGAAGAACTAGGAATAAAGACAATATGGATAAAGACAGATTAAAATAAAGACTTATCTGACATGAAATGCCATGTCAGAAAACAGAATTTTAGTCCTGGTTTTGCTACTTACAAACCTAGAAAATTTCAGTTAATCTCACTGAATCTTGAAATACTCTGTAAACACAGGTATAATATTTTCTACCTTGCAACCTAACCTAAACAAAAGGAAGGTATTTTAATTCACTGTGCACCTAACTAGGGATGTGTTGAGCATACTACTTAACTGTTTAGAGAACATACACTCACACATAAACATCCTTACAACTATTAAAGGTCCAAACCTTTTCATCTATTTCCTACCTATTCAACTTACCATATTTCGTGCTAAACTAAGGGTGCCCCATATAACCATTCCAGATGCACCCAGAGCAACCGTTTCACCAATTGTATTCACAAGGTCCTCCTGGCAAATGCAATAGAAAGAATTATCAGAGAATAAAATAAGCGTGCTCACCGAATAGCAATGACACCAATGCTGAGTGTGCTGATTCAACAACAGTAAGCTAAATATTTTCCACTATAAAAATAGCGAACATTGTTGCTCTGTCTTGTTTTCTTAACTGGTCCTGTGTGTAATTTCAGAGCTTCATGATAGTTAAACAGCTTCTTTACCACTTTAGCTGTACTCCCAATCCTTTCTTCTTTCATTGTTATTATTTTTAATAGAAACTGGATTTTTCCCTAGGTCAGAATGGAGTGGATCAAGCTTTCCTCATAGCTAGGATGAAAGGCTTATTCCACTGTGCTCAGCTTTTTATTGATTGAGGTGAGGTCTCATTAACTTTTGCTCAAGTTTGCCTCAAACCTCCCTCCTACCGCTCTCAGCCTCCTGAGTAGCTAGGATTGTAGGTATCAGCAACCAAGCCTGGCATATTGTTTCAATTACTTCTGTTGAAAAGAGAGGAAAAACGAAATGGAGTTACAACGTTGCCTCTACTATTTCTCCTGACTTCTTAGATATTATATTAATTATATTAAAAATAAAGATAGAAAGTTGCCTTCATAAAAATGGCGTTGCACAAATGACTTTGCAACCCCGATTTCACTTCCTTCAAAATTACTCAATTGCACTAATGACTACTCGAAAAAAAAACAAAAAACAAAACCATTTCCTGTCATAGCTCTACTTACTTACCTGAGAAAGGTATTGTAAAGTTAGATCACTAAAAACTAGGCGAGCATAGACAAAAATCGGAAGTGGACTTCTAGCGTCCCGCACCTTAGAAACCCTAATGGCTTCTTGAACGCGATTGCGGACATAGAGGACAGCTTTCGGTGATGCCTCTAATTCGCTTCTCAAATAAACGGATGGAAAGAGGGCTGTGCTTTCTTCCCACAACCAGTGGAGGGCATCATTTCTTTTCTTTTCTATATCAGGGCAATGTCCACTGTAATTGGGTTTTTGAGGGTTATGATTGTAACAGTCTGGAAAAAGATAGAAACCCCACAAGCGGTTCGGCCGAAGTAATTTTCCCAATCTCAACGTCTCTAGCATGAATTTCTTCCCTGCCTCTTCAAATTCTTCCTTGGCTATCTCGGTGGCTTCTGTTAGGTTAAGGTCTATATTGCGCTGCTGAACCAACTCGATGGACTTGTTTTTGTAAATATTCTTAGGTGCCCAGTTTCTTTCCCAAATGGGTCTCCACTCTTCCCAGTCAATGACAGCCAGGCCCATTTTGTCTGTTGGCATGTAATACAAAATGTCTCCGTTAGCTTTCGTCAAATGGTCTTGTAAAGACCCCAGCTGGGGAATTCCTCCATTGACACTATTATGTGCACTATCTATGTAAGGATAGTAGCCAAGTCTATTACTATAAAATATTGTAACACTTTGTCCTATGGCTGTTTTTCGAGGGCTTCCCGTGAAAGAGAAGAGTTTCAAGTCTAGTGGCTCATTAAACTTTCCGACACACAATTCCGTTGGGGCATTCCAAGCCCACAGGAAAGGATTATTTGGGATAAGAGGAGGTGCCCTGAAATCCTGTGTCAAGCAACATGGAATCAAAAGGTAGACCAACACTGTCTGAGATGCTCCATAGAGCTCACTGGAACTCCCAAAGAAGAGGTGTTTGAAACTTAGCATTCCCATTGCAAAGGGCAATGGCAGAGAGAAAAACAAAATAATACAAAACAAAACACGCTATTTCTTTGTACAAATTTTGGGTTGTCCAATATTGGATGCAGAAATGAAAGCTAGTGGAATGAGGTCACATTGATGGGCAAAGAGACCAATGGTTATGTTACATTTAAATATTGTTCTTCTTGCTCCATGTTTCAGGAAGGTTTTGCAAGTTGCATCATCCACAACTGAAAACAAAACAAAACAAAACAACAACAACAACAAATTACAGAATATGCTATTACACTTTGTGGCTTTATTTAAGGTGGCAAGCTTTACTCAGTTCTAAACTTTATATGCAAGGAGCTTACTCAGATTTAGGGAGATAAAATCTATTCCTGTGTTTCAGTTAATCAAATTGTTCTCTCTTCTTCTATAACAGTTAATTCTACTCTCATCTTCACACCATTTCTGAATCTTCAGTGAGTTGAATGTCACTGTTTTGTGAGTTGAATGTAACTTTTTTTCTTGTGTCTTTAGCAGTAGCCAATTGAGAGGAACTAAATTCAAAGTTGTACCTCTAGTTCTTCTTATTGCTTTCTTGAAAGTCTCCTAGGTAGTGAGTTGCTAAACAGTGAACACAACCTCTCACACACTGTAAACTTTTCTATTGAACAGTTGCTCCAGGGTTTTGCAGTTGCTAGGCAAGTACTATACCATATTCCATTCCTTCTTGTTTTTATTTGTTTGGACAGAATCTCGGTAACTTTTCCTGAGCTGACTTCAAAAATACAGATTTTCTTGCTCCAACCTTCCCAACATTATAGACATGTACTACTTTCACAGTTCTTTTTCCTTTTTTTTTCCACTAAGGAAGTGTGCCATACATAGTCAAGAAGTGCTTCTTGAGAAGTGCTTCTTCAAACACTACTATCATCAAAATCGTACTTTCATGTTAATGAAAGTGATTTTTTTTGTTTGTCATGCGGCTTGAACTCAGGGCCTGGGCATTGTGCAAGGCCAGCATTCTACTACTTTGAGCCATAGCTCCATCTCTAATTTGCTGGTGGTTAACTTCAGATAAGAGTCTCACAGACTTTCCTAACTGGACTGGCTTTGAACTGTGATCCTCAGATCTCAGCCTCCTGAGTAGCTAAGATTACAGGCATGAGCCACCTGCACCTGGCTCTGAAAGTGAAACATTTTGTTATTTCATATCTTCTACTATAAGAATTGGCCCCAGATCAGTTTATTAAGATAAAGATATGAATGTTGGCCTTTTAACAGTATTTGATAAGAAAGATGTGTGGTCAATCTGACTGAAACATGGAGAACTATCAGCAAATTTTAAGGTGCAAGGGTCTGAACCAAGAACAGAAATTAAATTTTGTACTATTTAGCACTTGGTATTTGCAAGTTTTTGCTACAAGAAGGCATGTTTAAAGGTTCTCTTTGAGAAGGAACTGTTCTGCTGTAGTGGGAATAAAAACCCTGCACCATTACCTTTAACTAGATTAATAGCACCCTACTATGTGAGGTACAGTGAAAATTAAATGCCTTCCCATAAATATTGGGGAATCATTCTTTAAAATTCAACATGAGCCACAATCACATATGGTACCAGCAACTTGTTAGACATCCAACCCAAATTAGCCTAACCTATTCCATTTTGTAAAGGACTCCATTTGTCCGCAGGAAGGTTGCTTTATGCTGTTTTGCAGGAACTATTCATTTGAATTCAAGCAGAACCCTACATGTGTCTTGTTTGACAATGTATTTCTGCAAAGGATTGTACTAGCTGACAAACCACCACCTTGACAAAAACTTGAAAGAAATGACCACTCCAGCAACCCTGGAATAGCTAACTAAAACTAAACCTATAAAACCAAAATGCTAGCCATAACCTCAAAAGTCTGGTGTTTGGACCCTTTCCTCACTTGGAAATTAAATAACCTTTTGCATCCTTGCCTGCTCGTATGACTCCTAGTGAATTCCTTCACATCTCAGACCCTTTCTGAAGTCCTCTGACCTAATAATACTTAGTTCATAATTTGAACACAAAAATTAACTGCCATCTCCAATTATAAGTTGCAGTGAATCCAAATTGAGAGTTTTGCACAAATGTTTAAAACATCAGCCAGCATAAAAGCAAAAGCAGAAATGTTTTGTATGTTTCACATACAAAACTGTATGTGGGTTTTCAGAAAATAACAGAGCATTTGAACAGCATTATTTTTTTTCTGGAAAGTGTCTTTTACTATCTTACATAATATAAATCATTTTATTTTATAAATAATTAGGCCAAATTCACACATCATAAACTTGGCTCCACAAGCGTAGTTAACAGCATTATATTATAACTATTGTTATATTATTTATAAAACACAATGGTTTGCAGTGAGACCATCTGAAAACAAATGACTACATAATGGTATCTATCAATTACCAAATGGTTTATGTACTGAATCAGAAAGCCTTTCTGTAGCTTACTTTCTTCTGATCTTTTGGCCTGTACTTATTTTCTATGAGATGTGACATATTTATAGCTAGAGTAGATGAGAAATAAACAGACAATTGATTCTGCTTCAGCATTCACAACATTTCTGAACAACTTATTGTCCAATGTACTACTTGAACAGGTCACCAGATTTCTGGTAGTTACTAATCTACCTGACACATTTTCCCCAAGGCCCACACTGCCCTGTGAAACTCCAGCCTTTGGCCTTTCTTGGTGTGGTTATTGTCTGCATGCTTACTACATGGACAGAATGTAATCAGACTAGACATTTTGACACTATGATAATGGCAAAGTAATCAGTAACAGAGATGGCTCCTCCGGTTGGCACTTTTTATAACTGATTCCCAACTAAAAAAGTTATTTATCAGCCAAAATAAACCACTTTGGCACAAAAATTCTGTGGTACTCATAAAACTTTCTACCTTTAATCATCAGGGCAGGTGGAACATAAAATTCTAAATATAAGGAGGACTTTAGGGGAGGAAATCATCAAGAAACTAAATGACAAAAAGACTTTTCAAGCCTATATTATCCCAAATAGGTGATATAAGTTATCATTTTTAAATAATCTTTGGTGACACCATATGTACTAGAACCTAGAAAAGTTCCATTTTCCAACCAAGTGAGCATTATAGGGATTTGTATAAAGGATTTAATGTCATGATGTCACACATAAGAACTCACAAGTATACATGGGATACATCGTGACTTGAAAAAAGGGCTGTCCTCCACTGGCTGAAAAAGTCTGTCAGGTCTTTAAACCAGGAGACGAAGTGTACATCAAGATTGTTAGAAGAAAGCGTGCACTGTTACCTTGCTAAGAAGGACGTTAGGAAGAACAGCTAACAGTGTGTACCTCCTACATTGTAAAAAGAGAACTCTTCCTGCATTCAGGCAAAGCATGCCAATCTAGGCCCAGGTTGGACTCTCAGGAAGATTGTGAGGCTGCCCCTGCAGGTGATCTCATAGTAAGGACTGGAGCATCGATTTCAACTCTAGAAGGATGACATCACAAAGCAGCCAGCTTTTCCCAAGAACACAGAGCAAGATACTTCCATCTTTTTCCCCCTTGAATTCTTTTTTCTATAAGGGCGTAAAACAACAACAACAACAACAAAATATAATCAGTCTTACTCTTTCCCTTTCTGTCTCTAGATACCTTACATTAAAAGCTTGCAGAATTACAGATTATTTCATTTACGAAATCATGGCATATAAACATAGAAGACAAAACAGCATAGAAAACTTATTTGCATATTATTCTCCCTAATTGTTCTCAGGGGTGAAGACGTTAGACACAAGTTATAGGATTTGTGACTTTATTTATTTATTTATTGGGGGGGTCTGGTAGTAGAGCCTGAACTCTGGGCCTGGGCGCTGTCCCTCAGCTCTTCAGCTCAAGGCTAGCGCTCTACCACTTGAGCCACAGCACCACTTCCGGCTTTTTCTGCTTATGTGGTGCTGAGGAATTGAACCGAGGGCCTCATGCATGCAAGGCAAGC